GCCTCCTCTCCCGCACAAGTCTCCGACTTCTGGGCTAATTCTCGTAGTTAGAATGAGGAGTAGAGATATTATTATTATTATTATTATTATTATTATTATTATTATTATTATTATTATTATTATTATTATTATTATTATTATTATTATTATTATTATTATTATTATTATTATTATTATTATTATTATTATTATTATTATTATTATTATTATTATTATTATTATTATTATTATTATTATTATTATTATTATTATTATTATTATTATTATTATTATTATTATTATTATTATTATTATTATTATTATTATTATTATTATTATTATTATTATTATTATTATTATTATTATTATTATTATTATTATTATTATTATTATTATTATTATTATTATTATTATTATTATTATTATTATTATTATTATTATTATTATTATTATTATTATTATTATTATTATTATTATTATTATTATTATTATTATTATTATTATTATTATTATTATTATTATTATTATTATTATTATTATTATTATTATTATTATTATTATTATTATTATTATTATTATTATTATTATTATTATTATTATTATTATTATTATTATTATTATTATTATTAATAATTATTATTGAACGTGTAAATTCAATTTTAGTCACAATTTTGACAGTTGAAACGTTTCATAGAACAATTTTAAGACTTACTATTACAAACTTATTTTATAGGTAAAAATATCCTTCATTTTACTTTATTCTGTATTCCACGCCCTTTTTGTTTCAGATTTTACTATACTGCAGTTAAATGTTTTTATTTATTTCAAGAATTTATATTTTAGTCCATTCTTTGATACGTTTTGAATTATCATGCAAACAAATCATAACAATATATATATACAGGGTAAATCCATTAACGGTATCGAGCGGCTGTATATAGGAGGCTAGACGTGCTACGATTATGGGGTAAAAAATCTATTAACAAGTACGGCCAAAAGAAATTGATTTAAAATATTTTCAAGTTTGTAACTTCACCGCTAGGGGTGCAACTATTATAGTGTTATAGAGAATTGCCGTTTTTTCGAAATTTCGTTTATACACCCTGTATAACGTAAGTTGAAAATACACGTTTTAGATACACTGTTAAACGCTTCACAAGTTTTGTTTGAACTTTTTTTTGTTATTACCATAGCAACACCAGTATGAAGGACGCCATCTTGAAATTTATAAATTGTCATAACTTCTAAATGCCTTAATCGATTTCAATAAACGATGGCTCATTTTAAAGAACTATTAATAAAATTTATATTTATGATTTGGGAATAAAAATATTATTTTCGTGCACAACGGTAGACGACACTAATGAGAAAAGTTTTGTAATTGTCTCCGTTTACTAGAAAACTTAAATGCAACTATATATTTTTTTTCATGGCTTGATAAACCATTTATTAAGGAAAACATATACAAACCGGATGTTGATATCTTTTTCGTTTTCAAGTTATTGCTAAAATAGTGAAGTTGTGCTAGAACATCCTCCTTTATTTAGTTCTCTAAATAACATTGACATAATTCAAGCCAAAATTAAATTGTAAAACTATACCGAAAAAGTACTTGCTATATTTTGATTTTTTTTTTTTTTGATAGCTGCAATGTTTAATTTTTTATTAATTCCAAACATCAGAGTATTTATAATTATTGTTTCCATAACGAGGCAGACTATGTCCTATGAAAATAGACAAATGAACAATTATGTCAAACGATATGTAACAGCTCTTGCTTCGTGCAAGATTAGTGTTATTCGTGTGAGAAAAGTGCTTGTGCTCCATATGAAATTCCTAGGTCTCTAACTAGTTCCCTAACATTTATTTGGGGATTTAAACGGTCACAAGCCAACACATTAATAATATTATCTTCCGTTCTTGCACGGCGATGTCTTCTTACAGAATGTAGTGGCGTCTGGATAAATGCTGAAATACTACTCTGGAGTAACGTATTCTACGAGGGTATCACAAAGCGTATTCTCTTGAAGCTATAACGGCATTTTCCAAACATTGAAAATAAACTGCCAACATACGGGTCCACATTCGTAAAAGGCATTTTCCTTGTTCACAAGTACTTTTCCAACACAAATAACATGTTTTATTGAAATAATTCGTAAAAACAATCAAATACAATAAAAAATGCTGGAGATAAAAATAACAAAGTTGATGTTATTAAATTTAGTACAACTTATAAAAACTGTTCAAAATTAATTTGGTGAAGTTAAATAACACCCTTTGCAGTTCTTAAGGATTATTTTTTTAAACATTTATGGTATTTTGGATATGCCTCCACAACATTTCTTCAGTGTTAGATGTGGAAGTATGCACTGTTGTTTTCAGAGTGCTTCAAAGATAATAGTCGCGAGGTGTTAAGTCTGGTGAACGTACAGGCCAGTTAACAGAAACATTATCCCTCTACCGATCCATCGACGAGGGAATCTTTGGTTCAGATACTACCAGACAATTACCGTGAAATGTGGTGGAGCTCCATCATGCATAAACCACATGTTAGCTATGAATAATAATGGCACATCTTCCAATAAATCGGGTTTTGCAAAAATTCTAAATAAATTTCCCCATTCAGTCTATTGGTAGAATAACACAGTCAATAATAATGCTATCAATAATCCCAAACCAAACATTGATGCGAAATTCATGCTCATAATGTTTCAGTTTGATAGCATGTGGATTTTCTTGAGCATACATACACATGTTCATTGTGAATATTTATTATTCCGCTTCTACTAAAACAGAATTGGCAGGTACAATGATTTAAAGATCAAACTGAAATTACAGTCAACCTACAAAATCAGAGCCTACTGGCCCTTTGTTAAGTATTGTAGTATGAGTGGCAAGATAATGTATACATTTAAAAAATATTTTTTTGTATCCAAACCGCACATTTAATCAAAATTTTACAAGAGGCCCAAAAATTTCCAAATGATATCACCTATTAAATAAAAATAGTCATTATTGCCCGAAAGAGGAAACAGTTATGTACGGATATTATCACCATACATCAATTTTGGAGGATTTGTAAGTATTAAAGAACACTCTGTATAACAGCAAAATATGTAGATTAAAAGCAAAAGTCAACACCCCAAAAATAATCAAAATCTATTAATACATATTCAAGTTATTTATAAAATTCAAAAAAATTTCACGAACTTTGAGGCCATCTAGCGGTCAAACGAATCTGTGGTCTTCCGTTGTACACGTTATTCTGGGACACTCTGTATATACAGTATGGTCTGAATTTTAGGTAGGAAACTTCGAGGGCAGATAGATCTTTTTAAAATAATATATGTTTGCCTTATAAACATTGGTCTGGAACAGCCCCATTTTAGAGATACAGGGTGGAAATCTATTAATCGACCTCAATAAAATTTGGTATAGATAATCTATGATAGTAGGCCTTGCATTCCTAAAATATGAGCTCTAAAGTTACAACCAGTGGTGTACAACTGGGCAGGAGTCGCCCCTTTTTTTATAAAAAAAAACCTACGCCACTGCATTTTCAGTTATTGTAACGGATTTATATTCTAATGGACCAAATACGTAAAAAAGGTAACTTGAATTTTTTTCCTAATATTCGCCATTTTCAAGTTCATTCATACCAATACAATCCCCTTGTGCAGACATTTCTAATTATAATATTACTAAAATATTTTATGTTTATGCTTAAAAGTAGAATTTGTAAGCACATCAACAAAATTCTCTACACTCGTTTCCACATTACCTATGAGGTAGAGTTCCTTATGCGCTTTAGTTTCCCTTGGAAGCCTAACCCACTATCTTTATAAATTAGAACAACTTAAATCAAAATCATAATAAATGTACGTTTACCAAATGTAGAAGACCAAATGCCAATGTCAACCATAATGGTGCAGAGGGTCCAGTGTCTTGGTCAGCCAGATTGCCATATCTAAACCTCCTGGACTTCTATGTTTGGGATAATCTGAAAAGTAAAGTTTATTCTACTCCAACAGATATAAGACCATAACTACTGCAACGAATAGAAGACGGGTGTAATGAATTAAAAGAAAACCACCACATGATATTAGCTTCAATTAATTCAATTAATAGAAGATGTCAGATATGTATCGATGTGGGTTGTTCGCATTTTGAACAGTTGTTGTAAATACATAATTTTAATTTTGTTTCTTGTTTAGTTGCTGTTGCTTAGTGAATATATTTTTATTATTATTTTTATTTAAATTGTTCTTATTTGTAAAGAGTTTTAGGTGTCCAGGAAAAACTAAAACACGCCAAGGACACTACCTCACAGGTGGTGTAGAAAGGTGTTAAATAATTTTGTTGATATGCTTACAAATTGCACGTACTTTTAAGCATAAACATAAATATTCTTGTAATATTATGGTTAGAACTGTCTGCCACAAGGGGATTGTATTGGTATGAATAACTTGAGAACGGCGAAAAAATAAAAGTCACCTTTTTACGTATTTTGTGCATTAGAATATAAATCAGTTACAATGACTTGTAAAAAATGCAGTGGCGTAGGTTTTTTTGTAAAAAAAAGGGGTGACCTCTGTCCAGTTGTACATCACTGGTTGAACCTTTAAAGCTCATAGGAAATGTAAGGCCTACTATCATACATTATCAATTTTGTTTAAAAACTTCAACACCCTGTATCTCTAAAACGGGGCTCTGTTCTAGACCAATGTTTATAAGGCAAACACATACTATTTTAAAGAGATCTATCTGCCCTCGAAGTTTCCTGCATAAAATTCGGACCACCCTGTATATTAAAAACCTCAACATTTACTTTAAGTTTTCCCAAGCTTCAATAGCAAAAATTAATAACCACTTAAATTTTCACTAACTGCACAAAAAAATTACAATTTGTGTTTAGCAGGATATTAAGCCTTCTTTAAAACAGAAACTGAAAACCAAATCTCAATGTTTTTATATAATTTGTAGAAATATATTTTCAAATTCCAATTATTTATTATAGTTACCTTTAAATACTGATTCATACAGAACACGCACTTTGGAAAATGTCTTTCACTGAAAGGTCTCCAACCTTGTTTTGGTTTTATTTCTACCGCAAAAGTATTATCTGTTACTTTAAATGGTACATAATTATATTCATCTTCTAATATAAAAGTAAAGTCATCAAATAATGCTGCCCTGTCATACTGCAAAATTTTAGTTTTACGGAATTCTAAAAAAAAATACATGATTAAGTTCGATATCTCCTAAAAACATTACAATGATATATCAAAAAATTTAAAACAAGCCAGTATGGTAATAACATAGGCGCCGACTTCTCGAGTGCTCCGGGGCTCAAGCACCCGACAAAAGTTTATTTATTTTGACAAGTTTAATTAATTTCGATATATTTTTTAAAAAGTTTTTCATAAAATCTAATTCGGAGAAATGCGTATTTTAAATCTTTTACCTCATGCTATTTCAAATGACGACTCATTTCTCTTCCTTTTTAATGTTATCTGGCAATAAAATGCTTATAAGGCAACCGAGCACCCGACAAAAGTTTTAAAATCGGCGCCTATGGGTAATAATGTATAATAGTATAAATTGCCATTAACTATTATTTTTTAATTTAAGATCCCATAGTTTTCCGGTTTTTATGCACTGGCACTTACTTGGTCGCCACAAGTTACAGACTTACATAGTACACTTCCTTAGCCTTAGCTAGGAATCTTTGTCTTACCTTTGTTGTACCCGGACTACGCTTTGTAGGAAGCAGACCCTGTCAAAGCCTGTATGCCTGCCCTGATATTGATTTTGGTTCCTGCTGTTGGTTCTGAGCCTACTACGAATGAACTGTTCTTCAGACAATGTTGGTCCTCTGAGATATTCTGTAGTGGCCTCTGTTACTGGTTGTATCCAGTGCTTCCAAGGATGCGAGAATCTAGAGCCTAGCCCAAGTACAATAAAGCAGGGTTGGCAAGAGTCCTAGCCAACCCTAAGAAAGTGTATTATAAGTCCGTAAATGGTGGCGACCAAACATAGGCCAAGGCATAACAAACTAAAAAACCACGGCATCTTAAATAGTATAGGCCGTGAAAGCCTTAAATAATTAGCATATTTTTATCTTCAAAAATAAGAAATTAAGAAAAAAAGTGAAGTTACACTTTTTGCTTTAAAAGGAAAAGGAAATTTAGAAATTCACCTAAATTTTTTCAAAGTCAGTGGCGTAGAAATATTTAAGAAAAAAGGAGTCCAGCTTCCCCATATCTCCACACCTGGATTACACTCTTAATCATTGAAGGCTTCAGGTTATGAGGGGTATGTAGTGTAGTATTCCTATCAAATTTGGGATTATTCCCTCCCACCGTTTTAAAAATATTTGAAAAAAAAATTTTTTTTCTACACCCTTCCACCAAGGAATCACTTTAGGCGAAAATTTTTCATGAAGTACCCCTACTAATTTTAAGGGACAAATTCAGAGACTTCCCTAAATCTATTCTATACTAACCTTTCACTCATATCAAACTTATGCTTCGCTTAACTTAGGGTGCTCCCATCTCATTCTCAATAATTATGGTATTCAGAAATGTGTATAAATGAGTGGTTAACTTGAGTGTGCATCAAACCACAAATTACTAGATAAGGGAACAGTTGGCTACTCAAATATTACCAAAAATATGTCATCAGTGAACGCCTAATGTCATGGTATTTCTTTATTTAGAATTTGAATAACTCGTGTTGAAAATGTAAATAATAAATAATGAAAATCAAAAGGTCAATCAATAATAATCATATTTAGTTCATTTTTCCGACTACTGGTATGTACTTAAGACAGAGTAGAAAGAATTAAGACGTATGTAACAGAACTAATTTCTAAAAAATAATTATAATTGATATCCTATCGTTCACGTACAGAATATCTTTTATTGAATACCTGGACTTAATTATTTGTAAAATATACTGCTAGGGTATTATGAAACCACAAAATTAATAAATTAGGAACATATAAGCACACATCAGATACCACTTACCTACCTAGCACTCATTTGTGAGGGAAATTTGAGTATGATTTAAGTGACTCATTGAAGTAGAATTGTTTATGAATACGGTTAGATTGAGTTTAGTATGAAATAAGTGTGAGTGGAACTTTAGGTAGATTTTTGAATTTGAGCCTAAAGGAGAGAACGCACTAGGCAGTCGCGGTCCCGTCCCGTCGCGATCGCGCGCGGTGGAGTTCCTTCCCATGTTTTCTAATGTATGCATTCGCACTAGACGTTCGCGGTCCCGTCGCGGTCCCGTCGCGTTCTCTACCGATCTTTTGCAAAAAGCAGAACGCATTATGCGGTCGCGGTCCCGTCCCGTCGCGGACCGTGCTAGTCGCGATCGCGCGCGGTAGAGTTTCTTTCCATGTTTTCTAATGTATGCATTCGCACTAGACGTTCGCGAGCTGGTCGCGGTCCCGTCGCGATCCCGTCGCGGTCGCATCGCGTTCTCTACCGATCTTTTACAAAGAATCTCGGGAGCAAGGACGTCTCCAGCCAATGGGCTAGGGGGGGCAAGATAAGAGAAATATAAATTATAGGTAAAAATAGGTACAGTGAATTAATTTTTATAGAAATATTTTTAATAAAACCTTTTTAATACAAAAAAAAAACAAAAATATATAAATATCTAAAAAAAATAAAGAAATTCAACGAAAATTAGGTAGACCATAACCTTTTCGGATTTTTTGAAAATTTGTCGTCCACTTTATTAATAAAATCTTCATGGTTGTTAAAAATAAGCTTTCTGTGTATACTCATCATTGCTAGGCCATTGAAACGATTATGTACCATAGTATATTTCTCAGCCAGGTTTTTATTTTTCTGTTCTTCTATTTTTCATTCCCCCTATATAAAATTGGTACGTTACATATATAGCTTTAGTTACACTATAAACTTTTATTTTGATGCCGATAGATAAAAATTTATTATTTTTTTAATTTAGAATTCCAGAGTTAAATTTTTAAAATATGGAAAAGTACTACTTTTTAACATAAAATTTTATATTTTTAAATTCTTTTGTAAACAAATATTTATACTAATTTATTACAATTGTTTTAAAAAAAATAAAGTAGTGTATTAATTTTCAATTAAAATTTAAGTAAATAAAATATTTGATTAAAAATTTCCAATCTAAATATTTTCTTAGCTTAAGAAAATTTTTGTACTCTTTTCGAATTTCTATGGGGGAGGCAGCTCCCCTTACTCGGGAGACCGCGATGTGATCGAGACAAGCTAGAGCGCGAATGTTTTTGATGATCGCGAATTGCGTTAATAAAAACAGCAATACCACAGTTAGACCGTTATTTTTACCCTACATTCCAAAATAAAAAATTTTGAAATCGGCCAAAAAATAAAGAAGCTACAGGCTTGTATCACATTTAAGCGCGACACCCTGTATATACAGGTTGATTCACAAATGGTAATCAAAAATGAAATCTCATATTCTTTGGTGACTTTTAAGGGGAGTTTTACCTATAAAGTTTTTATCTGGACGCTTCGTTAAAAAGATACAGGATGTTAAACTTCAAAAAATATTTTTAGTTTTTTTAAATAATTTAAAAACTAATAAGTAAAATAATAATAATAATAATAATAAAAATATAAAAAACTTAAAAACCATCTGAAAGCCCTTTTACATAAATGACATGACAAGCTCTAATCATTGGATTATTTATTTGAATAAAGAAATTAATAACATTAGTCATCATTTTAATGATTTTATTTGATTAAATGCTCAAAAATACCTCCATATCCACGAACACAGACCCGACATCTTTATAGTAGGTAACGAGAATGTAATTTGTTCGAAATTTATTGTTGCTTGAATCTGATGAATAGCATTTTGATTCTTTCTTCTAACAGCTCAAAATGTCAAAGTTGCCATCGCAGCCCACCATGTAATTTTAAAAAGCATTATATTCGAATATCAAAGTGTGTTCTCAGTTCGTTTTTTAAGTTTTACTCGAAAATCAGGCTTTTTTCGAAAAACAGGAGAGCAGTAATTTGTAGAAAATTCAAAGACGAATCCGAAAATATCATGGTTGTTGCTGTAAAGCAGTGGCGTAGGTACTATTTTATTTAGAAAAATATGCCGCCAATACCCTGTATCACCGCTACTGGAGCATGTAAGTTTTAGGAGAAGCCCTTAGATTTTAGACAATGTTTACATAAAAACATGTGCCCAATTTCAAATTATTTCACTTACTAGTTTTTAAATTATTTAAAAAACTTAAAAAATATATTTTTTTCTCTTTAACGAAGCGTCCTAGATAAAAACCTTATAGGAAAGACTCCCTTTATATTAAAATTCACCAAAGAATACGAGGTTTCATTTTTGGTCACCATTTGTGAATCACCCTGTATACAGGGTGGGCCAGTTTCCAATGCGGAAACTTCAGAGATCGATAGAAAAAAATAATATGAGTTTAATATATAAACTATTCGAATAATGCTTCGTTAAGGAAATACAAGGTGTTCAAGATTGGTTTAAAAATATCAAATTTATTAATTGTTGTCAAACGGTTAGATATTTCAATAAAATTTTGTAGAGGTTAACTACCATCGAGAGAGCACGTTTTGCAGTGAAAAACATTATTTTTAGTTTTGCCAACGGCGTTCGTAATAGCACGTTACTGGGTCTTTATAAAGAAAAAACTAGTACGCCTCTGATTTTACATAAAATAAAAATCAGTTTTGGATTCTTCATTCAGTTTGGAAGAAAAAAGCTCTCTTTCGATTTTTCTGTACGATTTAGCGTTTTTGAGTAAAAAAATAAAAAAACATTTTAACACATACATTGTAAATGTAATTTCAGATGCGGAAACTTCAGGGACCGATGGAGATTCAAAAAATAATATGAGTTTGATATATAAACTATATTCGAAAAATGCTTCGTTAAGGAAAAACAAGGTGTTCAAGATTGGTTTAAAAAAATCAAATTGTTGTCAAACGGCTAAAGATATTTCAATGAAATTTTGTAGATGTTAACTACTAAATTGGTATGCCACTGCTTTTACATAAAATAAAAATCAGTTTTGGATTCTTCATTCAATTTGGAAGAAAAAAGCTCGATTTTTCTATACGACACAATGTTTTCATAGTGATCTGTGAAAAACAATTGGGCAAGTACGACAAAATAACAAATTTATCTCTCAAATTAATTAGTAACTGTGTCACATTTAGTTAACTCTCTAGTAATTTGATTTGTAATTATTGTTTTGTTGTAGTTATTAATAGTGTTATCCGGAAAAGTGCTTTTTAGTAACGAAGAAAACGCAGATATTCATTTTTGTTACGGATTTTGTGATGGAAATGCGGAAGCGGCAGTTCGTGAATATCGATGATGGTATCCAAATAGAAGAATTCCAGATGCTCGTGACTTCATTGGAACATATCAAAAGTTTCGTAACTTTGGTCTGTCTGTTAATAATGAACTGTCCGCAATAACAATCGGAATCGTATTCTTCGTACTTTTGATGACAACCTGAGGCTCAGCTCTCGCAGAGCAGCTAAGCAACTACAAATATCTAAGTCAAATATTACGAACATTACGAGATGATCACAGGCATGCATATCACCTACAGCCCATTCAGAATTTACACCCTGGGGATGCTGAAAAGCGAATAAGGTTTTGCCAGTGGCTTTTAAACTCGACAGAAAAAAATCCCGACTTTTTGCACAAAATTCTGTGGACAAATGAATTCTCATTCAGTAGACGTGGAATAACGAATTACCACAATATCCATGTTTGGGCACACGAAAATCCTCGAGAAATTCGGCCACGATCATTTCAAAATGAATTTCTTACTAATAGCCTGCAGGACTACATCGAGGATATAGGTACTTGTTAACATGAAAGATGGATACAACTAGATGAAGCTCCCCCGCATTTTGGAATAGCTGTAAGAGCTAAATACTAATTACCCGCAACGTTGGATTGGCCGGCTAGGGAGGAATGACATGAATCATGGTATGGTTAATGGTATTGGACCAGAGACCTGGCCACCCAGGTCACCGGATTTTAATCCACTGGACTTTTACGAGATGATTTAGTTTTAAGGATTCAGCAAGCCTGCAAGATATGCGGCGAAATCTAAATGAAGTAGCTGTTGGCAATAAATTCATTAGTTACACGATGTAAATGTAAATGTAAATGTATTGACATGGGTGGACTACATTTCGAGCAATTTCTTTAACTTACATTTTTATTTTATTTTATTAATATTGTTGTTGCTGTTGTTGTACACCACTAATTAAATCTGTTGTTTTATTATTACATTTTCATTAACAGAAAAAATGAAATTACATTTACATTCTATGTGTTAAAAAGGATTTTTTATTTTTTTACTCGAAAACGCTGAGTGGTACAGAAAAATTGAAAGAGAGCATTTTTCTTCGGAATTGAATGAAGAATCCAAAACTAATCTTTATTTTATGTATAAGCAGTGGTATATCAATTTTTTCTTTAGAAATATCTAGTAACGTGTTAGTACGGGCCCCCCTGGCAAAACTAAAAATAATGTTTTTCATTGCAAAACGTGCTCTCTCGATGGCAGTTAACGTGTACAAAATTTCATTGAAATATCTTTAGCCATTTGACAACAATTAATAAATTTGATTTTTTTAAACCAATCTTGAACACTATATATAATATACAATATATTTCCTTAACTAAGTATTTTTTCGAAAATAGTTTATATATCACACATTTTTTGAATCTCTGTCGGTCCCTTAAGTTTCCACATCGGAAACTGGACCACCCTGTATACAGAGTGATTCAGGTTTAATCTGGATTAGTTCAGGAATCGATAGAACAGGTTAAAATAATGTTCATTCACGATATAAACTTATTTCCTAAATCGCACAGTTTCAGAGATAGAGGGCGTTGAAGTAGGAATTTTTTCCTGATTTTCCCTCATAACTTTTGAACCACTATTGAAGTGAAATTCGGAACACAAACACTCCTTATGATCTTACATAAGCTCCTTAAGCTTACATGGGGTCATTTTTGAATAAATATTCTAAAACTGCTAGGGGTGGTCATTTCTGGATTAATATACAGTGAAAATTGTTTATAACGACATTTTTAGGTGTCTAATGGAACATTGTTTAATAGTAGCCGCAAATATCGATGTCCATTCAGACGTTCCTCAAACACGTATAGACCTAATAAATTATCACCCACTATTCCTGCCCATACATTATTATGAATCGGTGCTGGTCTTTTGTTAGTACTGTGCTAACAGAAGGCCAGCTCCGATTCATAATTAATGTATGGGCAAGAATTGTGGGTAATAATTCAATAGATCTATACGTTTTTGAGAAACTTATTATTTTGTTTTTCTTATTTTGTGTTATGTGTAAATTGTGTTTATCAAATTACATTAGTAGACAGTAAGATTTTCTAGGCTAGTAGGGTATTTTTGCGGTCTCAGTCTCCCCCCTCCACTTTCTGGCTTGGGATGTACCTTGAGGCCGAAGGCCGATGACGATGGTGTATGGATGACCTTGAGGCTGAAAGCCGAAGGTGACGTAGGATGGTGACTTTCATTTGACCTTTGCATTGCAGTTAACCTTGAAATTAGATTTGCATGGGATGTGAGAGAGGAGGAGTTTTACATGAGAAGATGACCTTCATTTGACTTTGGCATTGCCGTTAACCTTAAAATTAAATTTGAAATATGTCTATCGGTGCGGATAAATATTTTATGAGGGTGTGGTGACCTTGAGCTAGTTCAAAAGACGAAAAATTATCACATTATGTGACGTCATTGGCTTGATTTACGTTTAAACAGTGCATTTAACCTTGAAATTAAGTAGTTGTTTTAATGTTGTGTATACATTATTGTGACGTGGTGCATTTGAATTGCAGTGTATTTTCTATACAAGAGAGGAGATCAGAGTGAAGAATTACATTTCGTTGTGTGCCAACCCTGCAGTGAGGGTCTACAATAGTGTAAATTTTGTGTCAAAAAAATTTTTGAAGTGAGAACAATTATTGTATTTATTGCTGACTAGATATTACAGGGAATTATAATATAAAAATGGCATTATCAATTGATGAATTAAATAAAATAAATAGTAATATTAACGGTGAATTCAATGATATTATGCGAAGGTCAGTTTCCTCGTTGGAAATTGATACACAATATCCGATAAAAAAACTATCTTTTGTCAATACACGTTTTGGAAAGTCCATTTTAGCTATATTGTTTGATGAAAAGTGTAATTTAAATTTCAAGTGTTTTTTACCAAAGAGGGTTACAGAACACATAACAGAAGATATTTTGAATAAAATGAATTCCTCTTGGGAACAATATACGATAACTTATTTAGGTCAAAGTGAGCCTGTATTTAAAGATGGTAAATGTAAAGCGTTGTTAAAATTTGGAATTGTCATTTAATTTTTGTTTATTTAATTTAAATAAAAAAATATATATCTAGTAGTAACAAATATGTTTTATATATAGAGTATATTCTAGTCAATATAAGTAATTTACACTATTTAGTCAGTATAATAATATAAGGTGGCTTCTCTGTTAATGTTTTATAATTCCAATAGGTAATAAATAATTTTTTAATCTTATTACTATAATACCCGTTTTCATATCATTTTTTTTTTATTTATTTATAGAACAACTATTGAAAATGTGGATGCATTATGCTAGTCAAAATTGGACCGATGCTGAGGACCTCCAGTCAGCCGTAAAGAGATTGATGAATGAGCTAGATTGTGTGGCAATAGATTGTCTTCACGCATCTAATTATGACATGAATTACTGCTTCTCTGAAGAAAAAATTAAACAGTTGGAGGAGGATTATGAAAAACATCGCCGTGGTGCATCATTATGTAGTAATTATTTAAGTGAAACTATAAATTTGGACAATTTTTGCGTGAAAATGGTGGAGATAGGACTAAAACAATTTGTTATTTCTAATTTGTTGGATTATCTACCATATGCAACTGTTGTAAAATACAAATTAGCAGCTCAAGAAAATAATGCTGGTAATGAAGATGATATATAACATATCATTAAATTTTTATGTAATTTATATATTATCTTAAAATTGTATAATATTGTATATCTAATATTAACAAATTTTATTGTATTAACTATTTGTCTATTATTGTAATGTGGAATAAACAACATAAATATAAATATATTTAAACTTTTATTGTTGTCTTATTTGTTAAATGAGTAGAGAAAAAAAGTATATAAATAGCATAATTAACCTTGAAATGACATTTATCTAATGTTAAATAGGAAGAAATGATACATGAGGAGGTGACCTTCAGTTGACATATTTAAATGCTATTTTTAAATATTTCGTTATAGTGTGACCATATCTCTAAGTTCATAAGTTTGTAAGGAATTTATAGAATTCAAGATGTAAAAAGAGAAAAGAAATAAATATATATTAAAATAATAGTCAATATATAGTTCTGCAAAGTATGTGTAATTATTAATAATGCATAAATAAGTAACTATTACAATTCCTAAAATATTCTGCTACCCTCGTATGCCTGCCCTCGTATACATAGTCATCTATTTAGCGGATGAAAGAAGAACTAACGAAACGATCAATAAATAGCCACGCCTACTTAAAATGTCGGTTAAAATAAAATTCAAATATATAATATAACCTTCAAAGGACACTAGAAGCGATCGATATTTTATAAACCACGCCTACTCGACAAAAATTCAAATATCTCACGTGTGTGGCCTTGAACGAATACCATACATTCAACGGACGAACCCAAATAATCAATGAGAGGAAAAACGCGCGAAAAAGCACATGCTGACTTAACCATGAACAGACTGCGATCGCCTACGTTTGGCGCTAAAATAAAATTTAAATATGGCGCTGTTGACAGCGGTTTGTTATATAACTTTACCTTCAAGCGAAACGATTAATACATTTGGTCACGCCTACTACGATTCGAGTTAAATAATTCAAATATTTCAAGTTGGCTTTGGGTTGGTTTTAGTTAAAATATATGCACATTAATTTTTGTTTTGTGTGTAAAAACGAAAAAATATCACATCGTGTGATGACATTCACTTGATTTACATTTAAAACATTACAGTTAACCTTGAAATTATATATGTATACTATGAATTAGGTCATTCATTTGAAATAGATATATCTATTTATATAAATGCATTTTGACGCTCAAAATAAATTTAAAAATATCGCACCAACAACAAATTTGCTGGTGTTTTAAAAACGTTGCAATTAACCTTGAAATTACATTTGTTTGGCGCGAATGATACCTACAGCATGTTATATGACATTCATTTTAAATATATTCAGTTAAATGTTAGAGATAAATATTGCTTGAGAATGTCACATAGAGAATTTGGCTTTGACATTGGTGTGATATTGGAATGAATACAACGCATGCTTGAACAGCTGTATATATAAGGAATGGAGGATGTATGAAATTCATTTGTGAATAACGATCTCAGTGATATATACTAAAAAAAAAGGAAATATGCTTTTGTGCGGTGTCTGTGGTAAAACCTTTACGCGTAGTGACAACTTGCGTCGCCATGAAAGGGAATCTTGTACTTCCAGTGAACCTATGGCAAAACGATTGAAATTACAACATGATGAGCAATCAGCGAACAATCAAACAATTAAATGTTGTGATAAGCAAATACCCAGGAGTCAAATACATGCGCATCGAAGGTCATTGGAACATAAAACATTGTGTTGTACACCTAAATCTGATGGTATTCAAATTATTAATACGGCATTTAAGTGCAGAATAATAAGTTACCGGG